AGGCCGGCGACTCGGGGATCACCTTCCCCTCCGCCTGGCAGGGCCCCCCTCCGTTCTCCTGGAGGCTGGGGGTTTGGGGCCTGGTGCCACGCAGACAACAGGAAGGGGGGAAGGAGGTATGCCTCCCTGCGATCCGGCTCGGCCCCTCCCGCTCAAGGCCAGGCCCAGACAGGGAGGCCCCTCTTGGCCTTGCAGCCTCTAATTGGAGCTGGGTTGCCATGGAAACAGGGTTTTCTTTGGGATTTTTCTTTACATCAACAGCTGCATAGAAAGCCTGAGTCATAGGCCAGAGGAGCCTGAGGGAGGCCGGGTATGGGGTGGAGGTGGGGGTGGGGGAGAAGGGCTCCATGGAGCCCTTGGGCACACCCACCCTCCCTCAGAGCCCCAGACACCTGGATCCCCACCCCCTCCCCCACCCCCTCAGCCTCAGCAGTTCCCAGCTCCCAGGGAGCTCCCCAGCCCTCACTGGGTTCAGGGGAGGGGTTTGGAAGCATCCTGGCCCGGTCCCCCTCCCCCTCCCGCTTCTCTTTCCAGTCCCTCTTGCCAACACCTGAGCACTCCAATGCCTCCCCACCCTGGCCTCGGCCATTCCCGGGCCTGGGGCCGCCTCCTGAGAACTCCTCTACATCCTGCAAAGCCCAGGCGACCCAACCCTCCTCCGCCAGCCAGCCCGGCCTCTGCGCGGCTGGACCCGGCGCTTCCTCAGTGCGGCGTCCCTGGGAGATAGGCACTGCCCAGGCCTGGGCTGGAGCCAGGGCGGGCAGGTTGCCAGGGAAGTGCCCTCGCCATCCTTCCCCGTCCACGCTGTGTCCTCACCTGTGAGCACAGCCACACCTCTCGGGCCCTGGGACAGCCCGTGCCACGGACACCAGGCCCAGGGCCTCCCCCCAGAAATAAAGGCTGGCTGAGGATGTGCTGGGGGAGCCTGGAGCCAGCCCTACAGGTGGGGAAACCGAGGCAGGAGAGCAGGCCGCAGCTTCAGTGGGAGCAGCCCACCCAACCCGCGCCAGGCAGCGGGAGGCCTGCGGATGATTCCCGTCCCTCAGCCATCAGCCCCCTCCTCCCCGGGTGCTGGGCGCTGCCTCTGCCACGCAGGCCGGGCCAAATGGCCCCCGCGGACACCCCCACGCCCCCGATGCCCACCTGGGTCCTTCAGTCCGCCTCACCCACCAGACCCAGGGTCACTCCCTGAGGGCCCCAGGAGCCCCTCCCCCAGCCCTGTTCCCCTCAACTCAGAGCCAGCACCCCTCTCCGCCCACGTCCGGTGCTCCTGCCCTTCCGCCTGGGTCACCATGACACCCAGCTTCACCGGAGCAGCAGGCCGGTCCCGGCGGCCCCGGCTGCTCCCAGCTCGGCGGGCGCCCTGCCCCGGGCCTTTGCACAGGGCCTGCTCCACGCCTGCCCGCCTGCCTGCCTGCCTGCCACTGCTCAGCACCCCCCCCCCATATAATCTGGAGGCTGACTCCTCCCTGGCCCCCAGGCCTCTGGCCGGTCCCAGGGAGGGAGAGCGCCCTCAGGGAACCGTCCAGAACTGCCCACTGGCTCCCACTCAGGCCTCCGCATCTCTCCTGCCAGGGGCTCGTGGTCTGAGCAAGTGGGGAGCCTGCCTGCCCGGCGCAGTGGGGGGGGGGGGGGGGGGGCGCCACGTGTGCCAGAGGCGGCGAGGCCGCAGGGGGTGCAGGGCGAGGCCGCAGGGGGTGCAGAAGATCCGGTTCTGCACGTGCTTCCAGCTGTGAGGGGGGTGGGGGGGCCTCACCTCTCCGGGCCCAAGCCCACCCCGGGGGAGGCAGGAGGCCAGGGACCCCGCTACCTCCGGAGGCTGGGCCAACCCCCCCATACCCCCGGGGGAGCAGGGCCCCGCGGTGCGGCCTCTGCCGCCGGGAATCACGGCCTTCCTCACGGGGGGGGGGGCAAGGAGGAAGGGGACCTGCAGGGAAAGGGGGCCCCTCTGGCTAGGAGCCGGCCCGGTGGGCGGGAGGCCGCGGGGAGCAGCCAATGGGCTCGGGCCGGTTCACTCGGGGGCGGCGGGGGCTCCCAGCGGGGCGCGGGGCGGGGGAGGGGGGCCCGGCCTGAGCCCGGGTTTGGGGGCGCGGAGCCGGGGGCCTGGCGGTGGAGGGGGCCGGGCCTGGCCTGAGCCCGGGTTTGGGGGGCGCGGGGCGGGGGGCCTGGCGGGGGAGGGGGCTGGCCCAGCCTGAACCCGGGTTTGGGGTTTGGGGGGCGCGGGGCGGGGGCCTGGCGGGGAAGGGGGCTGGCCCAGCCTGAACCCGGGTTTGGGGTTTGGGGGCGCGGGGCGGGGGCCTGGCGGGGGAGGGGGCCCGGCCCGGCCTGAGCCCGGGTTTGGGGTTTGGGGTTTGGGGGCGCCCTCCCCCGGCGCATCTGGTTCCCCTCCCCGGGGCGGCGGACCAGGGGAGGGCCGGAGGGGCGGCGGGCACAAAGGCCGCGGCCCGGGGGGCGGGGCGGGCGGGCCGGGGCAGCGGAGCCGCCCCCCGCCGCGGGGCTGGAGGGGCGGGGCCGGGGCGGAGCGCGCCCCGCGGGGATCGGAGCCCCCGACAGGCGGCCTGGGGCGGGCGGGCGGGCGGGCGGGCGGGCGACGACCCCTCCTCCGGCCTCGAGGCCAAAGGTCCGCGGGCGGGAGGGCCCCTCCCCGAGGCGGGGCCGCCGACCCCGGGGACCCGCGCGCGGGGCCCGATTGGGCCGGGGGGTCGGAGCCCGGGGCGGTGCCGGGAGGGGCCGGGGGGGGGGGCGGCGCCCGAAGCCGAAGGGCCCCGCCCGCCCCCCTCCGGCCGGGCGCCGGGCGGGGGCGCACCGGGCGGAAAGGGCGGGAGACCGGGGCCCGGTGGGTGCGCTTTGTGCGAGGACGGGGAGGAGGGGGGGATGAGGTGGATGGGGGGTGGGGGGAAGGGGAGGATAGGGGGCACGGAGGGGGATGGGGGGACAGGGGGGGATGGAGGTGGATGGGGGATGGGGGGAAGGGGAGGATAGGGGGATGGGGGCACGGAGGGGGATGGGGAGACAGGGGGGATGGAGGTGGATGGGGGGGGATGAAGGGGGATGGGGCTAGGGAGACGGGGAGGACGGAGGAGGATCGGGGAGGCACGGGGGGGGATCGGGGAGGGACGGGGAGGATGGAGGGGACGGGGGGCGGGCGCGGGGCCCCACTCACCCTGCCGCGTGGACACGTTGCGCTCGTTGGCCGCCTGCAGCACCACCTGGGCGCAGCTCTGCTCCAGCGCGAAGAGCTCGTCCTTGCCCGCCCGGGCGGCCTTGCCCGCCTTGAGCGTGCCGCTGGGCCCCGACGGCGCCAGGTAGCGGCCCTCGCAGTCGCGGAAGGCCACGCGGCCGGCGCGGAACTCCAGCGTGAAGGCCGTGCCCGGCTCGGGCTGCGCCACCAGGCGGCCGTCGTGGCGCAGCAGGCGGTGGTCGGCCGTCCGCAGGCTGTAGCGCTGGTCCTGGAAGGCCAGCGTGACCAGCGAGTCGACGCCCCACGGCACGTCGCGGTCCACGGCGAGCTCGTCGGCCGGCCGCGCGCGGAGGTGCGCGTAGCGCTTGCGGGCCAGGCTGAAGAGCGTGACCTGCGGGTGCATGGCGATGTGCACGCTCCACTTCTCGGCCGGCGACACGCTCTGCGCGAAGCACGACAGCCGGTCCTCGGTGCCGCCGAAGAAGCGGCGGTGCGCCTCGCTCTGCAGCGACCAGCGGCCGTCGTCGTGCGCCAGCAGCAGGAAGCGGCAGTCGGCGCCCGGCGCCTCGCGCTCGCAGCTCACGTTGCCGTCCTTGTCGGCCGCCAGGTAGCGGCCCAGGTGGCTGCGCAGGCACACGGCCGCGCTGCCCGCCTCGTCGGGCGGCTGCTCCAGCGTCCAGATCTGCTTCTTCTTCAGGCTGCTGGCCGACGCGTTCACCTTGAAGCCGAACGCCTCGGCCGTCAGGTACTTGTTGCCGCAGCTGATGAGGCCGAACTGGATCTGCAGCGCCTCGGCCGTGCCGTTGGCGGCCATGGCGGCGGGCGGTGCGGGTCCCGGCGGCGGCGGCGGCGCCGGCTCCTTTGTTCCCGACCGTCCGTCCGCGGTGCGCGCCGCAGCGCCGCACAAAGCCGCCCGCCGGCCTTATAGGCTGACGTCACGGCCCGCCGGGGGGGAGGGGAGGGGCTCCTGGCGGCCCCGCCTCCCGCCCGCCGGCCCGGCCGCCCCCCGCGCCGCCCCCCGCGCCCAGACTCCGCGCCGCCCCCCGCGCCCGCCCCCGGCGCCCAGACCCCGGAGCCCGCCCCCCGCGCCCAGACCCCCCGCCTGCCCCCCGGAGCCCGCCCCCGCGCCCGCCCCCCGCGCCCAGACCCCGGAGCTCGCCCCCCGCGCCCAGACCCCGGAGCCCGCCCCCGCGCCCGCCCCCCGCGCCCAGACCCCGGAGCTCGGCCCCCGCGCCCAGACCCCTGCCCCCCGCGCCCAGACCCCCCGCCTGCCCCCCGGAGCCCGCCCCCGCGCCCGCCCCCCGCGCCCAGACCCCGGAGCCCGCCCCCCGCGCCCAGACCCCGGCGCCCAGACCCCCCGCGCCCAGACCCCGCGCCGCTCCCCGCGCCCGCCCCCCGCGCCCAGACCCCGGAGCCCGCCCCCCGCCCGCGGAGGCAGCGCGGGGCTGCAGGGGGCGGCGGGGGCGGCGGGGGCGGCCTGAGCGCAGAGCCCACGGAGCCGCCAGGAGCCCCCTCCGCCCGGGGCCGGGGCGGGTCTGCAGACCAGCGCTCCCGCCCGCGCCTCGCAGCCCGCCCTGCGGCGGCGGAGGGGCTGGGGCGGGGGGCGGAGGGGCCGGGGTGGGTGGAGGGCGGCGGAGGGGGCGGATCGGAGGGGCCGGGGCGGATGGGGGGGCGGCGGGGGAGGCACCGGAGGGGACCGGGGCCAGAGGGGGGGGCGGCGGCGGAGGCCCCGATGGGGGTTCCCTGAGGCCCCGCTCCCAGGGCACCGCCGGGAAGACCGGCTCCCAGGGGCCCGGGCCCCGCCCAGCCGCTGCCCCTGGTCTCCGTGGCAGCGGCCGGCGGGAGCGGGGTGGTGGCCTCGGGGCGGTGGTGAGCAGAGAGCCCTCTCCCTGGCAGGGCGGGAGGTGAGCCCAGGGCCGCCTCGGGCCAGGGTGCCCTCCGCCTTGTACCCGACACCCAGGGTCAGAGGACGCCGAGCCAGCGCAGGGCGGGGTGGCACCCTCATCCTTCAGGCCCCCAACTCCCCTCCCTCGGGGGGACCCCCTGCAGCGGAATCCCCTGTGCTGCCCGGAGCACCTCCCCTTCCCAGGCCTCTCCAAAGGCAAGGCCTTGGCTGGGACATTCCCCGCGTGCCAGGCCGGCCCCTGGAATGCCAGCGCGACCACAGGCTGCCCACAGGCTGCCCACGAGGTCTCCAGGCGAAAGCAGGGCACTGCCTGGCTCCCCAGCTGGTCCCGGAGGAGCCTGTGCCGCCCCTGGCACCCCCTCCAGGGGGTTTCTCCTCCAGGGAAGGAGGAGTGACCTTCTCACCTCTGTGGGTTTACTGGCAGCGCCAGGGGCCGAGGTCGGCACACCCGCCCGAGCCGGGAAAGCACGGGCTCGGTTGAGGCTTGAAGCTAGGATCTCACTGGCTGTGTGACTTTGGCAAGTTACTTAACCTCTCTGAGCCTCCGTTTCTCTTTTTTGTAGAAGAGATATAAATCCCCCACCCAGGGGGTCAGAGCGTCCCTGGGGCCTCCCAGACGCCGTCTCCGACCTCTCTCAGGACCCAGGGAGACTGGGTCTGGTTAGGGAGACCGGACATCCGGCCAATACCAGACTCGGAGTGAGGGGCAGGATGAGAGCAGGCGGTTAGGGACGGCTGTGGGTGCCAGACTGGGGGGCTGGGACATGGCCGGAGGGTGCCGAGAGCCAGATCGTTCCGAATAGACAATGTGGAGTTTAAAGATCCAAGAATGTCAAAGGGCCTCCATGCCCCTCCCGTCCCCACGCCACCCTCGGGACCTGCTGTCACACTTGTTTTCTGTGTTTTCCTCTCTGTACACAGACACAAGCAAGCGGGCTCTGTTTCTTGTTCTTAGTTCCCTTCTCTCCAGTTTAAACTGCATTTTCAGCCTGCTTCTGTTCTCTGATGTGTCTCGGCAGTGTTTCTCACGGAAGCGCCGCCTTGTTCTTTTTCATGGCTGCGTAGCATTCCACTGCCTGGCGCACGGGTTCATGTGCCTGCCGTGTGCATTGGCACTGGGGTATGTCCTGCGTGGCCGGCACAGCCCGCCCCCAACAGGGGAACCCCAACCACAAGCCGACGCTTTGTGTGCGTGCGTGTCTCCGCCCAGCCGTGGCCCTGCGCCGCGTACAGCATGGTGTCCAGCCCCGGCGTGCGGGCCTCTGGGGATGGGAGGGCACTGTTCTTTGTTCGTGGCAATTATGTGCCAAGGACTCGGCTCCCATCCTTGGTTCTGTGCCAGGGTCACCTGGAGATTTCACGCCGGACAGCCCTGCGCGTGGTGGTGGGCACGGAATTCTCCAGGCGGCCGGCTGGAGGGGGACTCGGTCTCCAGGCTCGGGAGATTGGGCTCCGAGCTGGCCCGTCGGCCCTTTCCGTGGCCTTGTCTCCCTCCAGCCCGCAGCGGCCGCCGGCGGCCAGTCCCCGCGTGCCCCGGTTCCAGGGCGGCTCAGGTGGTGCGCTCCCGTGGGGCGGGAACAATGGCGTCCTGTTCCCCGCTCCCCAGAGGGACCGGGCCGGGCGGGGCCTGCAGGTGGGGCGGGTGACCTCGCCCGACACGGAAGTGTCCAGTGTCACGGAGACTCGGAAGGCCGAGGGAGCCGGGTGGTGCAGAGCAGGCAGAGTTTCCTGTTTGATTGATTGATTGATTGGTTGGTTGACAGCCACGTAGCGATATTGATAGGCGCTGAGATGGAGAAGGGCGTCACTCTGTTTCTGGAGATTCTTGTTGTTTCTTCGGTTTGGGCCTGGCCGGCCCTGAATGGCTCTTGTGTTCTCGCTGCCTCCGCGGGGCCCGAAGTGCGGCCTGGTACGGCTGTGCCCGGCCGCGGGAGCCCAGGGCGGGTCCTGGCAGGCTGGCTCCCCGCTGCCGGCCGGCCCCCAGCTGTGCCATCCAGGCCGCACCATCACCCGTCTCTGCAGAGGCCCCCAGGAGGAGCTGTTGTCTTTGGGGGGAGGGTCCCCAGGAGGAGGGAGGCGCTGCTTGGGGAGCAGGAGCTGAGGGGGGGGCGGCTCTGCTGGAGCAAAGGGGTGACACCGGCCTGCCCTGTGCTGGTCCTGGAACCCTGTGCCCAGCAGCCCTTTCTCTGGCTTCCGGACAGGACGCCGGGGCCTGAGGGGCCTCTACGAGCAGCTCCGAGGCCCCCGGCCGCCCTCCGGCCCCAGCACAGAGGCTGGTCCCTCCGAGGCCCCCGGCCGCCCTCCGGCCCCCAGCCAAGGCCCCGGCCGGCTCTGCCCGGAGCCGCGGCGGGTGCCTGGCAAGCGCCCGGCTAATTAAGAGGACATTAGCACCCGCAGCGCCCCGGCCTGCCAACATGTCCCTGCCAGGAGCGGGCCGATCCCGGGCGTGGACAGACTGCTGGCTGGTGCCAGGCTCAGCCTCCCCTACCGGCCGCCACCCCTCCGGCTGCCACCCCCCACCCCTGCACCAGGCGCCACACCTGCCCCGAGGTTTGGGAAACCTTAGCAGCAAGGCAGCCGAGCCTCACCTCCTCTGTCAACTGTCAGATGGCGAGGTCACCTTCCCCAGGGCCCTCAGCTCCAGGCCTAGCTGTGCTGCTCTTCCCAGCTGGTGGGTTCTGAGTCTGTGACCAGCCCCCCCCCTCCCCCCCAGGAGCCGCTTCCACCACCTTCAGGCTCCATCCCATCCTCCCACCCCCCAGGCAGCGAGGCTTCCTCCCTGCAGGTCTGGTCCTGCCCCGTCAGCTTAACCCTGTCCCTGCCCCGCCCCAGGGCCCAGAGCCTCCCACCTCCTGCCTCCCCTCCCCGCCCTCACTCCCCACACCCATGCACAGGGCGGGCGCTGCTCCGGCCTCCGTGCCCTGCCGCTGCCAGCACCCTGCTGGTCCTAAGGGTGAGCCTCACACCTCCTCTGGGCAGGCTCCCGCTCCTCCCTGGAGCCCATGGAGCGCAGTGTTGGTGCTTTTGACCCAGGACTAGGGGTCCCAGGGGTCAGGGCAGGCATATGGCCCAGTACAACTTTTTTTTTTTTTAAACATATTTTATTGATTTTTATACAGAGAGAAAGGGAGAGAGAGAGCGTTAGAAACATTGATGAGAGAGTCATCGATCAGCTGCCTCCTGCACACCCCTACTGGGGATGTGCCCGCAACCAAGGTACATGCCCTTGACCGGAATCGAACCCCGGACCCTTCAGTCCCCAAGCCGATGCTCTATCCATTGAGCCAAACCGGTCCCGGCATAGTACAACTTTTTGCAACGATGGAATGTTCTGGAATCTGCTCCGTCCAATATGAGAGCCTCCAGGCACACACGTGGCCACTGAGCATTGGAAAGGTGGCTTGTGTGACCGAGGAGCTGACCTTCATTTTGACTTCACTGGGAATAACTGAAATGGCAAAGCCACGTGTGTGAGTGCCACCCCTACTGGGCAGCACGGTCTGGGTGCACCGGGGCCCTGCCACAGCCCAGCACCCTGGGGGCCGGGCAGAGCTTGGGGACCGGAGGGAGGGCCCGGCACCCCACAACTAGTAGTGACTTGGCTCTTTGCCCACCTGCCGCTCCAGTGGGCGGGCTGGGTGTGCCCCTGTGCCAGGCTGTGGCCCGCAGTCAGGCCAGTAGAGGCAGAGAGGGGCGCAGAGACCTGGGGCCTCTGCCTCCGGGCCTGTCCCGGTTCGATCCTCCCTGCCCTCAGACCTCTGGGACTCCAGACCCCGCAGTCCCCTAAGCGGGCCCGGGGCCCCCAGACCAGCCCCTGGCTGCTAACCCAGAGAGCCTGCAGCTGGGGCTGCCCACGGAGCACGGCAGTGCTGGCCGGCTGGCGAAGCCCACTGCCTGCCTGGCTCAGG